TGGCAAAAAAAAAAAAAAAATTCCGCGAAAGGGCCAAGCCAGCTCCGAGCCCGCCCCTCCCCTCCCTTCCCTCTGGCCCTCCCTCCGGGTGTCCCGCTCGCCCGCACGCTGCTGTGTCTCCCACCCGGTTGCTCCCCGCTCTGCGTCTCAGGCTCCGTGGGTCTGTCTCTCTAGTGTCTGGCCCTATCGGGCTGCCGGGCTGCGCAAGCGGCGGCGGCGGCGGAGAGGAGGGGGGGGAGGGGAAGTGGGGGGAGGCGCCCCCGCCCGCCCTCACATCTGGCCGGTGGGGTCCGGTGGCAGCTGCAACACGTGGCTGACGCCCTGCCTGGCTCTTCCCCATCCCCTGTATCCCCGCGTCCCTCTCATACTCCTCCGGGTGGCAGCCGGGGCGCCAAAGCCCCCTTCTGGGACCCTGTGCCTCGGCTCTCGCGCCAGGGTGCCCTAGCCCGACTGGCCGTGCAAAGCACCGGCTGAGGCTCTCGGACTACCCCTCTCCCACTGTCTCTGCCGATTGCCAGTCTCCCCCTCCCAATATGGCTCTCTGCTCTAGTCTCTCCGGGGCACCCGGCCCCCCCTCCCGGTCCCTGGCTCATCCTTTCCCCTCCAGCCCTCTTTTGCTCGTTCTGTGGGGGCATCCCGCGGAGAAACCCCTGGAGACAGAGTTGGGTCGGAAGGAGGGAAGACAGGGAGGTGAAGGTGGACCTAGCCCAGCAGAACCGGAATCGCTTTTAGGTAGCGTTCTCCCTGCCAGATCAGGGGACACTAGGAAACCATTTTCAGAGACTGGTACCTTTCCCCATCATCATCACTCCCATCACCTTCATCATCAATGACAGGCTCATGGCCCGGTGGAAAGAACTCTGCCGGGGGGGGGGGGGGCTCCTGCTGAGGTAGAAGGAGCTCAGAAAGTCTGGTGTCTAGTTGGGTTCTGCTACCTGCGTGACCTCAGGCGAGTCATTTTCCGTCTCCGAGCCTCAGTTTCCATCTCTGTAAAAGGACAGGGTTGCATTAAATCTCAGTCCATTGCCTCCTCTTTAAAATAAGTATCGCTACACTGGCACTACCTAACTTAGGAGGTGGTTGTGTGAGAGGGCTATGGAAGCCCTTGAAATACTGCCATCCACACACCGTCTATCGGTGAAACGAAAGGGACTATTTTTTGTGAACTCTAAGGGTGCCCTGTGAGGTTGGATCCAATTATTCTAATTTTTGAGATATTGGAATATGATTCCATGTGATGATTTGTATTTCCTTATGTGTCTTCCACAGTCATCCTTCAATGATTCATTGTGGCATGGTGGTGACTCTGGCCTGTCAAATCGATCTATGCCCAGTGAAGCCCACGTTCTGGAACATTCTACAGAGCTGAGGAAGCTTTGAGGATAGTTCCAGCATTAGCCTGAGTCTGCTTTCTGAAGGCCAGCCTAGCTAAGTATAGAGAGAACCATCACCAGGAGGCTGGCCACTTGGCGATCGATTCTTTGGTGACGACAAGCCTTGAAATACAAGCCACGAGATAAAGAAAAATACAAAGTGTCCCTCAGTCCCTTCCAAGTCTACAGCAGCAGGGGCAGAGGTGGAAAATGGGGCAGAGAATGTTAGAATCATCAAGTTTTTAAACCTCTATCAACTTGAACTTAGCCATAGGTGCTGTAAATGTGAGGCCTTTGACCAGTGATCAATCAATAATCATTTATTAAGAGCCTGTTACCTGTCAGGCACTTTGCCTGGGGATACAAGGAAGCCCTCCCCCCAAAATAGGCCCTGTCCTCAAAGAGCTTACAACCTAATGAGGGAGACACTCTGAAAACTATTAAGGACAAACAGGATACATACAGGGCAGACAGAAAGTGACCTTGGAAAAGACACTAAATTCGGAGCGGACACTGGACAGGCCTCTGGCAGAGGGTGACACGTGAGCTGATTCCACGGATTCTAATAGGTGAAGATGAGGAGGGAGAGTATTCCAGGTCTGGGGGACAGTCATCGAAGAGGACCGTGAGGGGACTGGGGAAGAAGGCTGCTGAGCCATGGGAATAATTGGATAAGGAGGGAAGAGGACAGACGGGAGAGATATTGCAGAGACAGAAACGATGAGATTTAGCAATGGTTGGATGTGTGGGTGAGGGAGGGTGGCAAGGAGTCTGAGACACCGGGAAATCCTGGAGGACTTAGAGGATGGTAGTGTCCTCAATAGTAATGGGGGATTAGGAAGAGGGAAAAGATGACGAGCTCTCTTTTAAATGTATCAAGTTTGAGATGCCTCTGGGACATCCACAGAGAGTGGGGTGGTAGGAGCAATCTGCTGAAGAGGAAGAGGATGAGATCGTTGGTACACGCCTTTGTAAGGTTGGTCTTTGTACAGAGAAGGGCCACTTCATCGGAGATGAATAGCAGAAAAGCTAGTGGGGATGATGGTGGTGGGGTGTAGGATGAGGAGGGAGGTAGCAGAGGGAACTCTGAGAATGGCCTCTTTTTTTTCTCCTATTGCGTTACTCTAGGGGAAACTACAGCTAACTGGAAGGATGTTTCACAGGTTGTCTTTGGAAAGGAAAAAAGGAGGTTGCCTCAGTTTTATTGTTTGTTCAAAGGTGACAAGAAACATTTGGTCATTTTGTATTGCAGTGTTCATGATAAAGAAACACTTACAAAAAGGTTGCTATGGAGATAACTGTAGTTTATGCAGAAACTTCTGTGGCAGATGATGAGGAGGGTGAGAAATTCTATGAAAAATCTGATGATTGTTCAATTAAATCAATAGATATTATTATACTTGGTGAGTTCAGTGTGAGGACTCATGGGCATAGGAAAGGCCAACGAGAATTATAAAAACAAGTAAGAAACGGGAGAAGGCTTGTAGATTACATGAGAGATTTACACCTAGAGATTACAAATACCTTCTTCAAGAAGAGAATCAGGAAGTGCTGAACATGGTGAGCACTGAATAGTGTAACAAAGATAAAACCTTATATTTGGACAGGAAATTGATATGGGAGTCATTTCTGAGAGAAATATCTATGCATAGTTAGGCATGGACTTGTTAAATCAAAATCATGCCCAAATTAGAAGAAAAAAATCGCAGAGGATATATACAGTATAGAGTCTAAAAGAAAGAAGGATTTCCTAGAAATGGTGAAGTCTCCCAGATATTCTGTGCATATAACATTGTATTATTTGCTTCAAGATTCAGAACATCTCAGAGCCTGCTAAATGAAATACACAATCACTTAAAAGAGTTGTCTCACAATTCGCACAGGAATAAACAGGTGGATGAAGAATGCCTGTTAATTTGACTAGGAAATGCAGTTGTACGGACAGCCAATGGAGCTTTTCCATCTATAGCGATATCTTACATGGATCCTGCAGATGAGAAATGAACTGGAGGACGGAAGTGGGCCGGATTTCATTGTGAATGCTTTTAATGACCCCAAGCTTCTCCCTAAAACACAAACCCACCTTTTTTTAAAAAAATACCAATATTCATATGGTGATACAATCTTCAAAATATCAAAATTGTAAATCGTCCAAAAGGCAATGGACAGAAGTACAGTAGGGGCTACATGTAGGCCGAGGCACCTTGCCAATGAAGAAGAATCATGCAAAAGAATCAGCAGAAAAGATACCATCAAAGAGAGACGGAGTAGGAAAAGGGGGCAGGCTGGGTATGAACCATAATGGATAACTGACAGACAGTCCACACGATGAATTGGTACCCAGGTAATGCCAAGAGGTATGAATGAAGGCCCTCCTGCTGTGGCATACCTTTTGTGGAGAATTCAGGGGAGGCTACAGAAAAGAGTTGCAGAAAATGAGAAAGCGTGAATGGGTTGCTATCTGCATCAAGAGAGGGAGTAGAATCACTCAGGCCAAGCTGGTGGGGGGTGGGGGGGGCAGGAAGAAGTACAGCAGAGCTCTCCAGCACAACTCCTTCACAAAGACCTAGAGAATGCAAATCTGATTGGGGAATCCGAGAAAACAAATCAGAGCAAGTCGTATTTCCAAACCAGGTCAGGACGGGGGAAGAGAGAGAGGTCTGTGGACACTGGAACAGGGTGTCCCCAGCAGGGCCCTAAAGAGCATTTCAGTGTGAAGGAGCTGAGAGAGAACCACGAGAGGAGGCTCCAGATCTGTGCCAAAGGGCCCTGACCTTGCTCGGGATGTGGGGACAGGTTCCAAAGGACAGTCGTGTCGTTCTCTACACAGTTCTGGGTCATAGATGCAGGGTGGATTGTGGAGGGGATTTGGACTTGCACCCCAGGGTGGAATTCTAGAGTAAAGAGTGGTAACAGGTGCTATCCTGTGTACTGAGCAAGGATTGAGCTTAGAAGCAAACAGTGACAGTGCCACTCTGACCCCAGAGGAGAGCTGGGTCTCAGTTCCAGCTTTCAGCCTGATCTGAAGTAGACAGCCA